TATATATATATATCTATATCTATATATATATATACTTGTATACACACGTTGTTATTCGCGTACTTTCAACCTGCTTTCTTTTCAAAACATATTGATTGTCCTTTTTTAATTTTATATAAGAGTACATTATATCATTGTAATTGTGTAATTTATTAATATTCCTTATTTTACTTTCTTGCAAAGGCTTTCCTTTCACGATGCCGGATTTCGGGTGATGTTATCCAACCAATTCGACCCGAAGACCCGTATGAGAACTGCCTGCAGAGTCGTCATTATGGAGGTACGATGCACAAATGCATGCATCTATCCGCTCTGGCCTTCAACTGCCACCCCACCCCTCCTTCACCACAAGCCTATAGCCTTTACGTTGGCATTATAAAACGGCTGGTTTCATATTGGAAGGGTATCACTAACGGAGGACTGCGCACATAGATATCTCAGGGGCTACCAGAATATCACTGCTTATTTGATCGCCAGCTTGCGTACACATAATACGAACTGCTTTTAATTATACAAATACACCGTTTTAGTAGGACACCCTCGGGTGAGTTGTGGTTTGAGGATATAGTGCAAATTTCGTTACTGTAGAAACAACTGCTCCGGAATCAGAGTCGAGTTAGGCGGCTCTCCATGAAGAGCAATAGATGCTTCCAGCAGCTAAGCTTTGAAAGTGAGCTCGGCTCGTACACCAAGGCTGTGTATGGAAAGTAAGTCCAAGCGCCTACACCACGCCGCCTCATTTGTACTCGGTCATCACCACAGAGATCATTTTCATAACATTTAATCACCACCACCATCATCATCAGCGTCATCACCATCATCATCATGATCATCATCATCATCGTCATCATCATCATCGTCATCATCAGCATCAGCATCAGTATCATCATCAACATCATCTTAGTAATAATATTAATAAAAACAAATAGTAATAATAAAAAATTAATTTCATCATCATCATAATCATCCTCATCACTGCTCCCACATCATTAGCAACACTGTGTTCACCGTAGTCGTGCCATTACCATTATCATCATCGACTGTGTTCACCATCACACATATTTAATGTAAGCATCGTCTGAAATTCGTGGCAGCATTTTTCTTTGTCCGTGCTTACCCTGCTGTGTTTCGTTGGAGGCGATCATCCGCTCTGCATTTCGCTTGTAAAAATTAACTTGTTCCATTTTACGCTGCATCAGCAGCTTTTTCTCGTCAGCATGATGACTTAAGAAATACTAAACGTTTCGGTCTCGTTTACTCATCTCTAACACTGTCCCGTTTAATTAATAATTACTTAATTAATAATTATCAATAATAATTATTATTATTATCATTATTATTATTATTATTATTATCTTAATTATTAATAATTATTAATTAATTATCCGTTATATGGATCTGAGAACTATAGACAGGATGGCGCCGGAAATGTATTTTCCAACGGTTCTGCCTTGTGTTGGCAACCTGCTCCGCCCCCGACAAGCATAGTTGAGATGCAATATCGTTGGTCTCGTCCATCGCAGGCATTATCACGTGAAAGCGTAGGTGGTGCATTCAATATATCGCCAGCTTTGTGCCATCTCTCATTCGTCTATCTCGCTGCAGCATCACGACACCCGAAGCTGAAGTGCAAGCCTTCGACTCGTGGAAGAAAGTGCCTAAAGCGGGTAAGAGACACTTGTGTGGGTGTATAATACCAGGAATGAATATAATAGAGACCTATAGATTATTATCTATAGAATAGATAATAGAAATCTTTATTATTCACTCCTGATAGTGCTCGTAGCCACCCGCCATGTGAACGTTTGTAGAAGCCGGAATGCTGAGATGCTCCACATTCTGTCACCGTGTATAGATAGGGCTTCGTCTTTGAAAGAAAGGGTGACATTTTTTTCGCTAGGCAATATCGGCGAAGACAAGTTTTCCGATCTTTATACACAGGCGACACCGTCTGGTATATACGTACGCAGAAGTCGCGGTGTGTGTCATCCGCCAAATAGTATACCTGGGTGCACGCGTGGTGCGCTTTTAATTAACAATGGCGTCTGACAAATATCGTGGATTGCCGTCTAGGTCATAGCAATTGCAACTCTGGTGTTGCCACCGTGATTACCGCTACTATTAATGCATTCGAACAGTCTGTGTGTTTGAGGGATACCACACAATGCCGCATATATACAGCTTTAAGAGCTATTACACATAAACGAGGTACGCTGCAAAGCGTTATAGGTAACCATATCGATTGCTTGATTATTTTATTGCGAGTCGTTGGCTAATTAAAAGCAGGACGACGCCCCTGTATCTGAACTCCGTCACTGGACTGCCGTCAAGTAACAGTCCACCCCCCCACCCCACACATACACATTTGCTTTCCCGTAGCTGTGTAATGTGTGAAGTGAGGACGCCACTATATGAGCTGCATCTGTAAACTGGGTGCGGCATCTCGGCAGATTTAGTAATGCGCTCACGTCTGAGCTTGACAAACGAGCGTTGTACGTACGCGGTCACTGCGCATTCGCCAGCCGGTGAGCATTAGAGCATTTTACAGCATTAGAGCTGCTTGCTCTATTGATTTATGTACGCATCGGCCTGCCAGCGCCGGCACGCGAGGATTTGAACAAATTAAGCGTAATCACTAAAACTAACTAAGAAAACTGCTTTCTGGAACGCTCGAATATCATGAAGCCGTGTCTGAAATTCGCAAGCTAGCACAGCGCGGCATTGCTTCGTAGGATGCAGAACTTATTATAGTTGGCAAGGCGGGATGTAGAATAGAGAGAGCACAGCGATTACATAAATGCGGTTTGCGGACAGGAAGGGCGAGTGATCTTTGCCCCGAACACGCATTGAGATTCTTGCTGTATCACGTGATGGCGCTTCTATTCACCACCTCACCACGAGAGCAGATGGGTCGCAGGGGTGCTTACCACATTGTAGCATCTTCCCACCGGCCTACCCACCATTAAATGCGTGATTCGCTAATTAGCATTTCGTTATCGTTTTTGGGTCGAAAAGCGTCACTGTGCGTACCTGCGCAGGCTACCTAGGCTACCTAGGCTGCGTGCCTACCTAAAGGCTGGTGCGCAGACAGCGAAATAAGTCTATTCGGTATAAGAACTTTCCGAAGCAGATAAACAAATTTACTGCTTTTGTCGGAGTAGGGTCAGGGTTTGGTTAATAATTCTTATAACACATAAAACTGACTGCACTACAATTTATGTTTTTATTTTATTTATTTTAACAAAGATGGCGCCGTGGAGATGGTAAAGTGGGTCGTCTGTTGGCCTCTACGGGCCATTCTCTTTATCACTGTGCCCGACTGCAGAAAGCGACGCTGGGAAAAGTGGTTCATTGCAACGTTTATGCTATCAATTTTTTGGATTGCCATCTTCTCATACGTTATGGTGTGGATGGTGAGTTGACAAGTCAATATATCTGTAATGTTAGATAACATATTGATTGATATTTTTACCTTAACATGGTGTGGTCGCTTCGTTGAGAAAGGCTCGCTTTTCTTCGTTTCCAACCCCCTAATTGTGCCGCCGGTTTTAATGAGAGCAAAGTCGTGACAATAGACCAATAAAAAAACCGAAGTTCTTTTGTCATCTCAGCTTACGGCCGGTGCGTTATTGTCAACGACAGCGTATGCGCGGGCAATTCTATCCTGATGCATTCCTTTATTGTTTATACCTAGGTGATGCTCATAGGATTTACCCTGGGCGTTCCCGACAGCATAATGGGCATTACGTTCTTGGCAGCTGGCACAAGCATACCTGACGCTATCGCTAGTCTAATCGTAGCAAGGAACGGTGAGGACGTCCCTCAAGTGCTCCTCCTGTTGTCGCGTAGATTGAAACCAACGGTCCGGCGGAAACAGAAGTGGTGTTTGGCTGTGCAATTGGTGGCCCGAATCCTGTTAATAACGCTAATAGAATTTTAAAAAAAAGAAAGAATTTTAAAGCGCGTGTAGAATTTCTTTGATTCCATTCGGAAATTTCTCCATGGCTGGCACGATTACAGTTGATGTGATTGCAGCCGTATACGTCGAACTCATTTTATCTCGTGTTCATAACACTGATCACGTTTTCAGTTAGGTAACTGTGTTTTACATTTCCGTGAATTTTTACATAAAAGTGTTTCATTCAATTAATAATTGCAAAGGCATTAATTTTGAATTGTGGGTAGCATTTTAATAAAGTGCAACGAGACGTATACATTAAATTATTAAGGTTAGATCACATGCATTTGCAGAAATTACATCAGAGAGTCATGACATGTTTCATGAAGAAGGTAAACTAGTTATTTAGAGTTATTTATTCATGGCGCTTATTCTCCTTGCAAAATTCGATCCACTTGCCATGCGTCTAGGTCTTGTAATTTTATCTGTACTTCCTGTATGTCACGTTACATAAATGCTGTCCCGCGTTTCAAATTCTAATTTCTCTTTATTGCCATTTATTGACCTAATGGAACTAGGTTTCAATCTTGCGGTGGCTGCATCGCTTACTCATGGTCAAACATCAATATTTTCCATGCATCATGGATCAGCGCTAGCAGCAGTCTTTATCACGCTTTTTAACGCCATACCCTCCCGCCATTACCATTCGGTTCGCTGTGTATCAAACAAGTCGGTTTGAGCAACCCGCAAGAGATATGATGCATAAAATGTAACATATAACATGAAATCTCAGCGGATGTAACACACACCCTCGCACATTCCCACCCATCACTGTAAACCGTTCTTATGACTATAGAACGCATTAAGAGCCATACGGGGATGTTTTTAGAAATCGTGAATTCTAGATGTAGCGGAGTGCTGCTGCTCCGAACCGTAACGTGAGTGGACGCATTTTGTTTGTTTATACAGACGCCAAATGTGCAATAGCGCAGGTGCCATTCGTGTATGTAATTTTACGTGTGTGAATGTGTTTGAAGGTCTCGGGGACATGGCGGTATCGAACAGCATTGGAAGCAATGTCTTCGACATTCTCATAGGTCTGGCTACTCCGTGGTTCATGCAGACCGCCCTGATCTCGCCTGGTAGCTTCGTACGTATATCGATTGTCTGCTCATCAAAGGCGAAAAATCGTTGAGCACATTGTTGCGCCCCTCCCCATCACACACTCGCACTCACGCACGTACGCACGCACGCACGCACACGCACACAAACACAAACACAAACGCATGTGCGCGTGCACGCTCGCGAACATAGAAGTGAAGAGAGAACTCTATGCTCGCGAACAGACGCCCACAGAAGTAGACGCTCCCGCACGCACACGCGTCTGTGAACACATGCGCTTGCGTGCTTACTTGCATACGAAGACGGTAATAAGCGGCCACATATATTAGCCACATTGATCACAAGCCCATTAAATTGTCTGCTGAGACGCCACAGTACTATCTACGCCCTGTTATCGCCTGCGCTAAATAATCTCATTATTACGTAGTCATTATAAGTATTAATTATAATGCCATAAGCAACTACGTAGTCCCATCGAACGTTGATGATGATGACACAGCGCTATTGCGTTGTGTCGGTCTCTTTGGATATCGTTATTTATTGTTTAATTGTTAATTAATTGTTATTTATCTAATTACAGGTACACATCAACAGCCGTGGACTAATCTACTCGGTGATGCTGCTGTTTCTAACCGTGGCCTTCACGGTTAGTTTGGCTTTCTTTGAATTGAATTCTTAAAAGCAGGATGCTCGAATGCATGCGTAGAAAATGTTCTTGCTATAACATCAACTCGTACTTTAAAATTTTACGATTTCTCAGTGAGTGCTCTTGTTTAGCATCATTAAAAATAAGTCGCGCCTGGCAGTTTGTGGAAACATTTTTCTATCCAAGACATTTAAAGCGTTTCAAGTTCACGGCCAAAGGAGCTTTTTCAAAATCCTCTTCTTTCATTAGCTATTGATGAGAGTCGTTAATTATACGCAGATTAATCTTATTTCCATCGCTGAGCAGCTTGATAATCCTATTTGTTTATCGCTGTTTTGCGGATATTTAGCGTGTACAGTAACAATATTTCCCGTTGCTACAGCGATAGTTGATGAATAAATACCATGAGATGTACCATGATGCGTACCTGATGCGGGTTCCGTGTCCGTATTGTCGTCCTCGCGACGGCTTGTGTTCGTGTACGTTCCTATATTGTATGTTCTAAGTTGTATGCTGCTGTGTGTCTGCGTATGCGTTGTATGTTGCTGTATGCTGCTCCGTGTCTGCGTATGCGTTGTATGTTGCTGTATGCTGTTGGCTGTGTGTGTTTTATTCTGTCGTCTATGTACGTCTTGGAGGTTGTTGTGTCATGCATAACGGGTGTATAGGTTTTGCGTAGTCGCCGCGTCGCTAGTTCATGCTGCTCTTGTCGCGTCCTCACCAGATACTCACCATACACCTGAATCGGTGGGAGCTGAGCAAGAAGGTCGGCGTGATTTTCATGCTCGTGTACGCCGTCTTTCTCACCTTCTCCGTCATGATCGAGTTCAACATGTTTGGCTTCGTCAACCCACCGATGTGCATCGAGTGAGAAGATGCGCACTGCACGAGAGACGGAGACTGGGCCAGGCTCCAATACGATGGAATCTGATACAGCATTGGAGGGACAGAAATGGGCAATCGGGAGCTATGTGTACATGAAGATGAACCATAAGAGCAGCATATGGGTATATTCGAGGTCGTTATACATAGAAAGCCCATTAAAGGCTATCGTGTGCGCGTAGGCACGAGTTTAAAAACCTCTGTAGCAAGCTTTAAACTTCCCAAGCAAACGTTGTTAGTTCCTCGGTGGACGGGGTTCCAACGCCATCTATGAATACCTGAAAGCACAGTTTAAATGCCAGAACAGTGGCATGTAAAACGCTTTCGGTGGGAAGCGCCGTTTTCTCTCTCAATATATTTACTTGTTAATGTCCCTGTAGTAATCATAACGCAAAAATAGCAAGTATGCGACTTTACCATGCTAGCCTGCTAGGAGTCAGGTCTGAACAACTTGAGATGCGAATCTGCGTTGAAGTTCGTGCGCTTGAAATATCCGCGCGGTGGCGCCACTAAACGACTAAACATTTACTGGCCGATGCATGCTCCTGTAGCGCATTGCCATGCTGCGTTGCTGATTTGAAATGTCCTTGGGGGAAATTATTTATTGTTAAACCTAAATGGGAAATTTTCTTGTAATTATGATTGTTTGAAATGCGTGGTAACTTATTAATGTAAAGAGGAAACTTTTGATCTATGTGTATGTGACGTAGCACAGAATTACTGGTTCGACAAAATAAAATACAGTGTCTGTTTTTTGTTGACTATATTATTATTATGATTATGATTATGATTATGATTATGATTATGATTATGATTATTATTATTTATTAGTTGCTGTTAGGGGGACATAGCTTGGCAATACGAAAACACAGTATGCAAGGTAAACGACATTCATTGGAACAAACTCTTGAGTATGTAGCTTTGTGTAAACATAGTTGCATGGTTACAAATGTTAGTACAGTACATGTGTATTAGTACTTGTAAAAGCACGGTGTCGGCTAGCTCCAAGAAACGGTATTGCTAGGGTTAGAATATAGACAATCCGTCGCACAGCCTGGTCGGGCTAGGTGTCGGCATGCATACACCCGCCATCCATACATGCGTCAATGTATCTAAAGCCGACACCCGCTGCAGTATTCGCTCCAAACCATGTTTTTAAGTATAGTGCTGTATAAACGCACGCGAGCATTTTCGTCTAGATTATTGCTTATCACCGTGCCTGCAGTTATTAAATGCATCTTTGCAACCAATCAGAATGGCGCGTCGGGATTTCGTGAGGCGAATGCGACGGGATCCTTCTTTGAGCCAGCATGCGACGGGATCCTCCTTTGAGCCAGCATACGTGCCGAGCATTGGGCTATTATGGAGATGTTATTATGATAGTGAGCGCTAACACTTCATACCTATATATTCACTGTTATACTGTTATGTAGCGCTGTAGTCATTTTCTTGCTAATGAGATCATTATAATCTTTAATGATATATATATATTATATATATATTATATATACAGTATACATACATAGTATATATATATTATATACTACATATAATATATAAATATACTTATAAACTGCGGGATAGACCCGCGTGGCCCGGGGAAATCAGTGGCGTTACTCAGTGGTGACTCGCATTATTAAACGAAATACCCAAAAAAATCTAACTATCTACCTATCCATTCCATCCATCCATCCTGCAATTCTATGCCATCTCATCCCATCCATCGCACCGCATCCCATCCATTCCCATATTCCATCCCATCCCATCTGCATCGCCATCTCTTCCATGCCATGCCATGCCGATGCCGCCATCCTACCCATCGCACGCATCCACCATCGGCTTTCCTCTACGGCTGCGGAGTTCGCTATGTAGTTATGCGAGTCGAAACTAATTCGGCCGAACAACTTTTATACTATAGATACTAGATAGATGCTATTATACTTGACACCAGTATTGTTTTATATTTTTTCAAAAGGTTGCCTTGGTATCGTGTCGATTGATCTATTCTGATGTGTGAGTGTGTGTGTGTGTGTGTGGTGTGTGTGTGCTTGTGTGGTTGTGTGGGTGTGTGTGTGCGTGTGTTTGAGAGAGAGAGAGAGCGGTATGTTTTGCCGCGTGTATCGCGTCTGCGCGTATGGTGCGTGGCCGTGTGTATGTATGTATGTGTGCGGTGTATAATGCTGGCGAGGCCTGGTGCCTGCGTTGGCGTGGGTTTGCGGGCTGCTTCGCTGTTCGCGGGTGATCGTCTTGTACCATCGCGCGGAATAACACCGCGTTGACTATATTAGCCAAATTTGCTTTATAAATCTAATTAGTTCAAGCTATAGCATTGAATGCCCAAAAATACCTATCACTGTAATTGGCATGACGACGAATGTGTTGTCCAAAATATCATGTCTACGCACCGTACGTTTTGTTGTGTGTATGTGAGCAGGTTCTATATACATGTGTTATGCATTATGCGTATATTTTAGATGTATATGCAGTATGTATATCAGCTTGATCAGATGTATATTAATTCACATTATATATAAACGATAAAAGAATATTAATGTGTAGCGCCGATATTACGAAAGCCTCCTTTACTTGAAATATAATTTACACTAAATGATACGATCTCTCCATGTCATATATAATATATATATATAATATATATATATATATTATATTATATATATATATATATATATATCATAATAATATATATAATATATATATAATGTATATATACATATATATAATATATATATACATATATATATATAATACATTATGTAGGAACTGTATAGTGTAATGTTAATCTGAATATACGATTGTACATATATGGTTACGTTCGAATAGTAATGTATAATAATTATTACAAATGCTTGGCGAAATACTTAATCTCTGTGATGTGTCGAACAATGCGGATACGGGGAACTTTATGTTACAATCCGAATTACATCTAAGCAAATTTTATAGCTGTGTAAATGATTTGTGGCTGCAAGTACTGTGAACTAATTCCCTAATCAGCATTGTGACATGGGCGTAGACGTGTGCATTTGACTGGCTAAGTCCGTCTGTTAGCTGAAATGTGATTCCTAATGAATCCATTTCAAACGGATTTGATCTTGCTCTGCAATTTCGTAGTTGTGATAAATAAAAAAACGCCGCTATTGTTACTACTACCTATTGCGCATCTTTTAATTATAGTTTATATTCTCATTACTAGGTATGTGTATTGTAAAAATACGAGTAGGCCCTACTGGCCTGGGTTAGCCTGGCCGCTATACCAGCTAGGAGGCTTCATACATCCTACATCGATAGATAAAGTAAAAAGCCGTTCTTCTACTATTAATTCTGGATGTGTCGGCATTCGGACTATTATGTAAGGCGTATGTAGTCCATTTCATGGCCGCTCCGTCGCATGTTATTTGTTTTGAACATTTACTGATGATTGATAGCTAGGAACATTCGTGTATCTCAGTAGTATTAGTTCATTTTTATCGCTCAGCGTTTATGTTTGTTCACGTTTTGACTGATGACGATGTATGTTGCTCTACGAAATCTTCTCCTTCTATATCTAACATCCATTTACTGCGACATAGCAAGAAATAATGATCAGTAAAAACGAATCGTTTACTTTTATCATTATTGAGATCGTTGCACGCTGTTACAGGTATATGAAGAATATAAAAACAATCAGTTGTGATGTTTAATATATTGGAACTGTTGTCGTTTCATCTTCTTATATCATTGAAAGTCGGATGAGCTTACTCTCGAAATCGTTCTGTCTTGAGACAACGGGTAAATCACGCCTTTAACCTCACTCACAAACGAATACACAATTACCTCTCCGTCACCCTGAGCCGTTAATTCACCTTGTCCACACATGAATGGAGGTCCCTGAAATGTAATGTAGAACTGAAAGTAAGAAGCGAACTGAAGCTAGCGTGAACCGAAGCACAGTCGATCGCTACGTGAGCGAGTGTATGTCTGTTCGATACCCACACGGTTACCAACCTTCGTAGCTCGCGATGGTAAACATGAAGTAATGAACTAATACAATTAAGTACAGTTAATGAAACTAAGGCAATACATCTGTAGTTTTGCCATCTCTATGGCCTATCACAAGAGATCACCCGACACAGCGACCTATGGTCCCCACCGGTAGTCGGGAGCTAAGGTCTCCGACGGAAGAGAGTGGTATGTGTGTGGCTAAACTCACATTGCGCGTAGGGGCCTAATATTTTCCACACTAAGGTATATCTTTAAAGTTTTGAGCAGGTACTAATTGCGGTATAAATAACTATTAATTAGTGTAATATAGGGTATGTTCAGATGAATCGGCCCTTTATCCTGCTGATTATTTTCCTAAGTTATACGATATACTAACGCCAACCAAATCAAATGCATATACACGTGCATAATTTCATTCTTAGTTGCGGGGAATTGAGATGTCGTGAGGAGAGGGCGTCAAAGAATGGACAAAGTGAGGAATTGGGATCATTTTTTTGCTTCAATTTACGCTAGAGTTTGCACTCTATATTTCAAACGTACAATCTCAAGTAAATATTATTACTGTTAGCAGATATAGACATGCGCGCACAAAGATCTGCCGCTATTGCAAGGATGTTAGTGACACTGGGCAGTTGCAGCTATTAAATTGAGGCATTCGAATTTTGATGGTTTATATCAAATAATTCGGGAGTGTGCGCTCTTTGGTTGAAACGAATCATTTCAACAAAATTCTATATATGTCTTTGGGCGTTAAACAGTATTTTACAGACACAATACTAGCGCCACCCAACGGCATAGAAACTGATAAAGCTTTTCAGTCAACGTTGCGGGGAATGGAGATGCAACAAAGCTATGGAGTCTTTGAAATATTACAGAGAAATATTTGGAATCGAAATCTTTCGCATTAAAACATCACGCGAATCTATGCTCTCCAATTTGAACGTATAATCTCAAGAAAATATTATTATGTTTAGCATATATTAATCATGC